ATACGTATTTCTGTTTCTTGTACAGCAGTATTGAGGAATCAAGGAATGCCTCTGTATTTGTTGAAATTTCAGGATTTAGCGACGGGGTTGAATTTTTATAGGACTTCGAAATAAACGAGAATATTGGGTCTGCACAGCTCCGTTTAGAGACCTTAGTTTTGCTAGAAAGGGCCATTACAAGTTCCGACTTAATTCTGAATGCATCAACGATCGTTATGAAATTCTCTTGTTGCCATTCTCGTCTACTTATGGTTGCTTGAATGGGCATGGTCACGGGTGCGTCGCGGTCATGCGTTGCAATTCCGGAAAACTCGTCCAGCTAGATTGTAGCAGCAGGTCCAGCATTGCAAATGCATCTGAACGCGATGCACCTACACGTGAGGTCCTGCCCGCTTATGAATCGTGAAATTTGTTTCGATCGAGAAGATTTTCTGATAGCCTCTGATTTCCTGATAATGGCGTTTTCTGTGTATTGACAAATTTCACTTTTTATTGCTGTCTTTTTCAGATTTTTCAATAGATATGGATTCATATATGGCAAAAGCTTCATCACAACTAGGAGTATTATGTCAACATTGTTCAACGACAGATTTACCATGTCCAAAAGCACATCAGGTATTTTTTGATTTGATTTGATGATCTTATCGTAAATTCACTTCACTATCATACTTTTTATTATCATTTCGAGTTCGACATTTGATACTTTGTATATTCTTATGTTCTCCTTACCTGTCCTAATTATCAGTGACGGTTTTTTAACTGAGTGCTATCATATCAGTATCTGCACATGTCTGTTGTACGTCAGGCTACCTGTAGTTACCATCGGTAGGTAGTGCAGCTGGGCAGAAGAGCACCTTCACAGATCTCAACTCGCCTCGGATATCTGAACCCTACATCCCCTCCCGGAGTAGTAGGTTGGTGACAGTCCTGGCGAGTTTACTGCTGATGCGAATTGGCAGCTGCCCAGCTTCTCTTGGGCACTGGACGGAAGCCTATTAGGATAGATTCGAATTTGGGACGGGAGACAGCTAAGTGGAGCATTTTCAGGGGTTTGACCAGAGTTAATCACTACATACACATTTTTATATGAACTGTGTCAGGACAAAAAAATCTTCAAAGAATAACTGCGAGTCAATGTTGTCGTTGGTCGCGCCATGCACTTGACCTTTAGCTCATGGCGCGCTAGGCGATTACTATTGTGTAAACCCCCTGATGATGTAATGGCTTTACTCCCTTCTACTCACGCCATAGACCGTCCTTGTCAAAGTATGAGGTGACCTCAGCGATGCTCTTCAAATTTGAATTTTCTGGTGTATCGCATGCCCGCGTGGTGCGTCGTGGCACCTCTGAACGGTGTACTTTTGCGCCATTCTCAGTGATTGGGTCAGTCTTACCCTCAGGGTTTCCCTGGCCATCCATTTTCAGTATCAGCTCCAAGACAAATGGTTTCCTGGTGGATAGCCTCATTCTCAGTGATTCATCAGAATCGCTTTAAATCAGCCGCCGTTGTCAATGTCGCTGTCGTCCTTGAGGGGTTTCGCGCGCGGGCAAATACCCAGTACAATGCCAACCAGGTGCTGGCCAGCTAGGTCGTCGGCATCGTCACTCACTGTGCTCAACTCATTTCGCCGTTCCTGTCACTTGGACCCACTCAGCCATCTGGCCAGAAATGGTAGGTGATCGACTCGGTTCGTCGTAAAAAGCCATCACTCCCCAGCTTGGACCTATTGGCTTTAGCTGAGAGCAGGGTTATTCCGCAATCATGCCGGCTACCCAGCGAATTCGAAGAGCCGTCAAATCCCGGGCCAAATTGGTGGGTACGATGATTATTTGGAGCTGTTTCAACTACCCCTTTGTACTACTTTTTGTTTTTCGATTATAGATGACCTTGTACTTCATGTGGTAGCTGTTTTTAGCTCACTGACTGTTTGTACCTCCGTATCCTTGCTATCAAAGGACGCTTCTTTCTGATGTTTGTGACGGTCATACCTATCGACAGGGTCCCTTCCTGCACATGCCCTTCCACAATTTGCTAGCTTTTTGATTGCGGGTGTCCTTCCCGAAAAAAAAGCTCTAGAAGTATCCCGGAGAGCGACTTGGAAAGCTTAGGCTAATTGTGCTCTTGTGTTGTAGTGGCTCTCTCGAAAAACGGAAGACCTCTAGATTAATCCCGGAAAGCGATGATCTGGGAAACATACCTGGTGTCAGTATTTAACTTACCCGCTACGGTTTTGAACATCTTCATGCCTAAGCTATTTTCTCGATGGTTTTTCTTCACAAATTTAACGAGTTGTTTTTACCTTTTGCTAATTCGGAAATCAAATGGGAAGCCGAAGCCTAATTTCAAGATGAATTCTCCTGTATTGATGCAATAACATCCGCCGTCGTTCTTCTTTTGTTGGATGCCGAACTAATTCTGAATGTATGAGAGAAGGCTTTTTTGGTCGTCTCCTTGAAAAGATCCACAACATTAGATTCTAGGAGTTGGCTCCCATGTTAGAAGTAGACCTGTTCTTGCGGAAAGTTTCCGGAAACATACATTACTATCGCTTTTTTACTTCTATTCACATAAATAGGCGACAAAATGGCGTCGTTGAAAATGAGGTTCCATGCTAATCGTTCAGAACTGGTCCCAGAAAATGACTATTTTCCCACATTTGATTTTTTTCTTTTTTCCATTTGCTCGGATTTTTAGAATTTTTCTGATATTGTTTTATTCTGATATTCTTTGCTGGGNCGTTGAAAATGAGGTTCCATGCTAATCGTTCAGAACTGGTCCCAGAAAATAACCATTTTCCCACAATTTGACTATTTTTCTTTTTTCCATTTGCTCGGATTTTTAGAATTTTTCTGATATTGTTTTATTCTGATATTCTTTGCTGGGAATCAATTGGTTGGATTTTTTTTTGAATATCCGCAAATGCTTAGGATATTAATGATTAAGTGAGGAAGAAGCGGGTTACCATCAGCAGTAAGCTACCACACTTATGGACCGATGATCGAATCTCAGCGCATCTGCTTCCGTATCGAATAAATAAATGAATAAATAAATATGATTGCGGAAGTCGTAAACCGTTCTGCAAAAAAAGTCAACGTTGAAAAGTCGCCACATACTTCATACTTGATCCTAGGAATGAAACGAGTGATCATGCTCGCATTGCTTCTGAATCGTGAACTCGGAAAGCATAGGCTGCATTTTGTGGCTGGTGCAATAAATTGTGCAAATGCAGCTGTGTACGATTCCGAGTGTAAGTCGCATTCGTGGCGCGACCAACTGTGACCGACCAACGCAAANGGCTGCACTTTGTGGCTGGTGTGATAAATTGTGCAAATGCAGCTGTGTACGATTCCGAGTGTAAGTCGCATTCGTGGCGCGACCAACTGTGACCGACCAACGCAAAAACCCTATCGTTTTTCTTCCTTTTTTTGTGAAGTCAAAGTTTTTACAAAAAGATTTTGTAGTTCAAGCGACCAGATCTTAATCTGAGCGTGATCGCATGATTTGAGTCCCTAGAAGCCATAATTCTTAATTTCAAAATCTTATTTCATTTTTTGAAGCTCGAATATTATTTTCGTTTGTGTGACAACGTTTTTTGTTATTCAGGAGCATGGCTCACCTTCATTACCATCATTGTATTCACTGGCACCGTCCGATATATCCGGTAACGAGCCTCTATGTCGGATTTGTCATTGCTGTTGGCCGTCGGACGCATCCGATCCTCTGATATCCCCATGTCGATGCTCCGGTTCTTTGCAATATGTACATGTTTCATGTTTGATGGTAAGTTTGAAAACATTTTTTCTTCCAACTTCCTCATTCAATGTCCTTTCTTCATTTGAAAACATCAGCTGTCGTTTTTCACCTCCGAAGGCCATCCAAAACGAAGTTTCTGCGAGAACCTATGGACGTCGCTTAATCAACTGTCACCTGTCATTTGACTTCTCGTTGATCTTCGCCAGAGACTTGGGGTCGGCCGCCAGATGTCTTTGTTAATCGCGAACGCGTTCTAGAATCAGACAGGGAGGCTCGATTAAGGGATGTGAATGAAATTGACAAATCAAACAAAAAAAAAATCAAACACAAGACCTAAAAACTCAAAAGAACGTGGAAAGGATCCGGAATGGGAATAAAGCAGATTGAAACAATGATTCAAATGCCTATTGATCGCCTTCTGTATTCCTGGGTGAAAGTGTATGGATATAAAGAGTTCGTTATGCAGTTCCAGGGCGAAGGCAGACACCTGTATACGATTTCTTTTAACTCTTGAGGGTTCGATCTCTGAGTGCGTTACTGATCTTTACTTTTGAGTTATTCATGCCTCTCATACTGTCTGGCGGTTTAATTTTGAGATAGTGTCTTTTGTTGCTTTCGTCTGCTAGCTTTGTCTGTCCATACTGTCGGGGGTGGTACAGGAATTCTACAGACCATCGAAGTTCACGACGAAGAAACCTTGGTCTGTCGAACCTTATTAGCTAACGATTCTCCATTTATGAAGGATTTTGAGCTTTCTTTTTTCGAGACTTCACATAAACTCACATAATTGCTCAATAGCATATTCATCCAACTTGACTCCCCTCGGAAAATTTGGACGGTAACGGGTTTTTTGACCTTCTCACATCCTCTTCGGCTTTGAAGCCGGAGCTTATATTAAATAGGTCAACAGGTAAGAAGTAAACAGTATGTAAAAGTGGGAGACGGGTCGGGTTTTACCCAGTACCCATTTTCATGAATCTAAAAAAATAAAGATTCCTCTAACTGCTGACTTTTTTGTTAAGTTGCTTACTTTGGTTTTCCTAAGCTTTACCCTAGGCTTTACCTTAAGTAATGCAATAGCTAAGAAGCTCTACGTTACATCCCCAAATTTCTCCTCACCTCCCGAGACTTATGGAATAGCTAATCATATGAAAGTCGGATGAAAGGTGCCAGTTCGCGCCTGAAGACGAGGAATTTGGCAAACAGCTGCTGGACTGCGCAATTTATTTCGAAGACCAGATCCGCTATGAATGGCTTTTGGGGTTCTGAACAGAAATCGGGTGCATGCCGCTTTCTGATGAGTCGATAGAGTTCGCTCTCTCTGCTGTCTACACCTTTCTTTTTCATTTCTAAAAAGCATTATACGAATTAATAAAATCAATAAATGATTTCCTTGCAGCATTGGTTAGATATTTCATCGCGGAAGTTGCATCGACCAGCTGTATGTGAACTTTGTTTGTACAAGTATAGGAGAAGACGTGTACTTAAGGTAAGTAACAACTACTTTGAATTGTGACGAATAAACTGGTTCCTACAAATATTTGGAAAGATTTTCTGAGTTAGTGGGTATTCTCGAATATTCGATGTGATTCGGGATGTAGGGGACCAGATATTCATTGTGACAGAATCACTGTCACTTCCGGCTTGTTAGTGATATTTGGGAGGTATTCGAACTTAGGGAAAGATGCATCTCTGAGCATCTATGAGCTAAATTCTCAAAATTCGAAATTTGATATTTCATTTCGATACCTATTCCAAATCCAATTATGGGTGATTTTCTATATTCCTATTGACCATCCATATACTTCCGCTAACCTTTGCAGCTGATGAAATTTCTGGTTTTTATCCAGAACCCATCTAGGCAGGACTTTGTTTACATAAACGTATTGTTGTTGTAATAAAACGCCGCCACGAGTCTAGACATCCCATAGGGTAATAGGAAATACCATGACTGTGTGTTTTCCGAGTTCAAAGTCCTTGTCACATGGCGTTAAGGTCAAACCAATAAACTGGAGGATTGTGGGGTTCTGAAGGTGAGTTATGCAGCTCTGAGGGAATGGGCGAATACAGTAGGGGGCATAGGTTTTAAGAAGTAGGATTTTGGACTTTAGTCCGATATCAGGTACCTTGATTAGACAGAAGTAAATGTATGTTGTTGAGATTCAGAAAAAAAAACTAGGGCTCATAAGGATCTGAAGAACCAGACGGACTTCTGACGTCTGTCTTTTCTACTGATGACTTTTCCTCCTTAGAAGTCAGAAAAATTCCTGTTTGAATTTCTTCTGAGATTAGTGAAAAAAGGAGCTCAAAACATCTTCCGAATCCCACTTGACTTCCCTGGTACATTTTGCTGAGTTTTTGTACCCAATCAGTTATTCTGGACTTGAAGTCTGAAGTTTTTTTTTCTTGTGACACCAATGTTTTTTGAAATTCCCACTGGATTTCGAGTTCTCCCGACAAAGATGTTTTTAAAAGTGAATTTCCTTTCCAACGATCGTTGTTACTTTCTTTGAGAAAGTAGATTCATTGACTTGTTTACAGTACCGGGAGATCAAGCTGCCAGATTGTTCGGATCGTGACGTACGGTACTATACATTATTCGTGTGTGCGCTAGCAATGATGATTCTGTCAGCGTTAGCCACAATCGTGTGCTTTCAGTTGGAAAAATCTTATTCAACGCATTCCAATAAGTAAGTTCCTTTTCTCAAGAAAGATCAATTTTTATTTTCTATGTGCATTATTTACCTATCAATCAAACGAGGTTGATCGCGTAGGTTTTCACTGTAGACATACCGTAACAGAAAGTGACTACCCAGAAATGGATGATCTGCCCATGCATGTTGACATGTTGGATAAGCCGTCCACTTTTGTGCAATGGACGCGAATCTCGAATTCTATCGTTCTCACTCTTTCTATCTTTACTATGGTAGTGATTATCGCCCATAGTTACGAATCAGGCTGGTCAAAATGCCTCGAAGGAAATGTTCCTGTTGAGTAATCCGTAGTGTGTACTTTTTGATGTCTTTAGCTTAGGTTTTTTTCGTTTCTGAGAGGTTATTGGAGTCTTTTCTCACTTCGTTCTAGTCTTTTATATGGCAAAAATCAGTTTTTCACATAACTTAAGTAATAAGTCAGATTGGCGTGCCTTAGTCATTAGACAAAAGGGACAGGGCCAAAGCACATTGGCTTCGGTCAAAATTCGAACCCGACCGTGTGCTAGCCGGGCACCGTGTTCCTTATCCCTGACACTACCGAGGCATCGTTCACCCTTAAACCATAGTTTAGCAGTCTTTTTATCCCTACCTTCTATTTAAAGCATTGTGCCCAGAAAGCATAAGTACGGGTT